GCGACGTGGGCGAGGTCTGCGTCGCCGGCGCCTGCGTCACGGCGGGCTACGAGCTCCGGGACTGGCAGGCGGCGGACCCGAACGTCGAGGCGTTCGTCGGCGGCGCGCGCGGGCACCGGACGTGGTTGAGGACGGGCGACCGCGGCCTGCTCGAGCCCGGCGGCGCGCGGGGGCCGCGCCTGCGCCTCGTGGGGCGGTCCAAGGAGATCGTGAACCGCGGCGGCGAGAAGGTGAGCCCGCTGGCCGTCGAGGACGTGCTCCTGCGCCACGCGGCCGTCAAGGAGGTCGCGTGCTTCGCGGCGCCGCACGCGCAGCTCGGCGAGGTCGTCGGCGCGGTTGTCGTGCTCAAGCCGGGCCGCTTCGCGACGCTCGACGACCTGCGGGACTGGTGCGTCGCCGGCGTCGGGGCGGACCGGGCCCTCGACGCCAAGTGGGCGCCGGAGACGGCCGTCTACGCCGCGCGCGTGCCCAAGGGCCCGACGGGCAAGCCGCTCCGCATCAAGCTCGCGGCGAAGATCGGCCTCCCGGCGCTCGACGCCCTCAAACCGTCCGTGGCGACCTACGACGTCGGCGACGACGCCTTCGACCGGGGCCAGGCCATGGACGACGTCGCCCTGCGGGCCGCGGGGCGCCTCCGCGTCGACGACGCGCGCGCCGCCGACGACGCGCCCGCGGACCCGGGCGTCGACAGCATGGCCTTCCTGCGGGGCCGCCGCGGCGCCGCGAGCGGCGCGCCCTCGGGCGCGGCCATGCAGGGCCACCTCTACTTCGTCGCCATGTTCGGCATCCTCTGCGACCACGGCATGCCGCCCCGATGGTGGGCGGGCCCGACGGGCGCGACGCCGCTCGGCGGCATGGGCGCGCTGCTCGACGTCATCGGCCCGACGCCCCTGGGCCTCGCCGTCTTTTTTGCCGTGGCGGGCCTCAACGACGCGCGCGCCTACGACGCCTGGGTCGCCCGGGGCGCCACGCGGCGGTCGAGGCCCGCGCTCGCGGCCGCGTGCGCGCCGCTCCTCGCGCTCTGGGCGGCCATGTGCGCGCTCGACGTCGCGAGCCACGTCTTCTACGGCGCTTTGCGCGCGGCGACGGGCGTGTGCGTGCTCAAGGGCTACGGCGCGCCCTGCTACGCCTTCGACGACTTCCGCATGATCTCGTTCTGGGAGACCAAGTGGTTCGCGCTGGTGCTCTGCGGCTACCGCGCCGCGGGCTGGGGCTTGCGCTACGGGTCCCTGTCGTCGACGCACGCGCCGCCGGTCCTGCGGCTCCGGCGCCTCCTCGGCGCCGTCTTCTCCCTCGCCTTGTTCGCCTACTGCACCGCGGCCGACGACCGGACGCTCTACGTGCAGATCCCGAAGACGGGCACGGGCAAGATGAAGGTCCACAAGCTCGTCGCGGGCCTCTTCTACTTCTTCGCGCCGCCGCTCATGCCGGAGGCGACGCTCACGCCGGCCTGCTCGGCCCACGACCGCGACGGCGCCTGCGCGTGGCCCTGCGGCGTCCGGCTCGGCGGGCCCGCGGCGCGGCGCGCGACCGCGGGGCTTCTGGGGCTGCACGGCCTCGCGGCGCTGACGCGCATCGGCTACGGCGGCTGGCCCCGGGGGCCCTTCGAGGACCCGGACTGGGCGACCATGGTCCTGGGGCTCGTCCGCGGCGGCGCGAACGCGATCAACCTCGTCCCGTTCCTCGACGACAGCTTCGCCATCTCCTTCCCGGGCAAGTGCGCCCTCGTCCTCGCCGCGACGCTCGTCGTCGTCGCGCTCGTCGCCGCCGCGGCCTACTGGGCGCCGCGGACGCCGAGCTACTGGAGCGACGTCGGCCACGGCACGATGGCCGCCTACGCGCTCCACCGCGCCGCGCTCCCGCCGCTCGTGACGCTCTTCGCCGCGTCGCCGCGGCTCGTGGCGCTGGACATCTTCGCCGGGCTGCCCATCTTCCTCGCGCTCCACGCGCTCCTCGCCGTCGAACTCCCGGCGCTCCTGTCCAAGTGCGCGGCCCGGCCGGACGCGCCGGGCGCCTACGGCGACCGGGAGCCGTTCCTCCCGGAGAAGCACTCCTAATTTTAAAGCGGGGCGCCCGATCCAATACGAACACTATTACGGCTTCACGGCCCACCAGGACGGGTTGCCCACGACGCCGCCCTCGCCCGTGAGCTGGAGGTGGCTCTGCTCGCGCTCGACGGCCTCCAGGGCCGCGAACGCGACGCCCGCGAAGCCGAATTTCGGCCGGCCCTTGCGGTTGATGTCCTTCGGGTAGCAGAACTCGCCCTCGATGCAGCCGTACTTGCCGCAGAGCGGCACGCGGTCGCCCAGGCCGTCCTTGATGCCCGGGTCGGGCCACGCGTTCACGCCCATCTCGCGCTTGTCGATGTCGGCGACGCAGTAGTCGTGGCCCGCGATGATGCCCCCGCGCCGCACCTTGGGCCACCACCGTTCGAAGGTCTCCTTGACGTGGGCGTAGTCGTGGACGCTGTCGATGTAGACGAAATCCAGGGACTCGTCTTTGAAATCGTCGATGAACACGGCGTCGAGCTCGTGGTGGAACGTCCAACGCGGGTTCGCGTTCAGATACGCGATGGTCTCGACGCCGTACTTATACACCTCGGGCATGTTCTTCGTCGTGCGGTAGCTCTCCAGGTCCGCGTCCAAAGGCAGCGGGTCGATGCCGTGGTACGACGCGCCGGCCCACGTCTGCAGGAACATGCGGCTCCAGTGCCCCTCGCGGACGCCGATCTCGACGGCCGTGCCGTTCAGGCCCAGCCGATTCAGCAGCAACGGGAACTGGTCCCGGTGCGGCAGGCGGAACTTGTGCTTCGTCAGCGCTGTCGCGACGACGTGGGCGTGCTTCTCGAAGCGCGCGTACTCGGCCTCGAGCACGGCGGCCTCGCACGGCTTCACGCGCGCCCAGTGGAAGTCGGCGAGCGTGTCGTGCAGCTGGCAGTCCGGCGCCTCGGCGACGGCGGCGGCGGCGAGGAGCGCCAGGCGGGCTGCCGCGCAGGGTGCCGTCCGGCACCGTCGCGGCGACCGACGTCGAAGCTGCCCCATTGCTATCGGTGAGCGGTCGGGCCGTGGATGACGGCATGTCTGCGCAGCACCAAACTCGTTGAGGAGGCTCGGTTCAAAGCAGCATGGTGGCCTGCGTCCCCATATCGCGCGCGCCGTCGCGCGCCAACACGCCCGGCGGTCGTCGGAACGCACCCAACACACGCGACGCGCACCGTTCAGTTTCGTAGGTCGACATGGCGGCCGCCACGCCGTCCCGGCGCCTGCTCGACGCGATCAAGCGGTCCAAGGCGAACCCCGAGGTCCCGATCTCGAAGCGCGCGCCGGCGCCGACGCGCGCGCGAGACGCCCGCGCGCGAGCGCGCCGCCACCCCCGCAGGTACGACCGCGACGCCATGAGCTCGCTCAAGGACGAGTGCAACGAGCGCTACAAGGAGATCCTCCGGCTCATGGAGGGCGGCGACGCGCAGCTGAGCGACCTCGACGACGGCGTCAAGGCGGCCCTCGTCGTGCACCACCAGACGATCCTGCGGAACAAGCAGTGCGCGCAGCTCTACATCCGCGAGCGCATGACCACGCTCCGGAGGCTCCGCCTCGAGGCCGGCGCCGCGCTGCCCGAGGAGATCCGCAACAACATGGGCCAGGAGGAGAAGGAGTTCTTCGACGGCTACGACAAGCTCTACAGCTCCTACATGCGCGACATGCGCGTGGACCTGCGGACCGCGCTCCGGCCGCCCAAGGACCTCTACATCCAGGTCCGGTGCAACGCGGACTGCGGCGAGCTCGTCACGACGCACAGCGGCGTCGTCAAGCTCGACAAGGGCACGACCCACTTCCTCCGCGCCGCGGACGTGGAGCCCCTCGTCTCCCAGGGCCTCGTGGAGCACATCCGGAACTAAGCGGTACTAGGCGACGAGGCCGCGGAGCAGGGCGTCGCCGCAGGGTTTGGTGGTCTTCGGCGCGTAGTCGGCGAGGTGGCGCGGGCAGACGTCGGAAAAGGCCACGGTCGACTCGTGGAAGCGGAGCGTCGTCGCCTCGACGGCCGCGCGCGCCTCGGGCGACTGCGCCTCGCTGCACGTCTTCCACCACATCATCGCCTCGACCTTCAGGTGGTGCCGCTTGCCGCCGCCGTTGAAGTGGTAGACCGCGGGCACGGACTCGGTCCGCGTGTTCGTGAGCGTGCCGTCACGCTCCTTGAGGTCCGGCCAGGGGTCGCAGTCCGGGACGAGCGTCGCGTCGCGGACGCCGTGCATGCACTGAAACAGCCGCGCGTAGTGATCCAAACCGAGCTCGGGCCCGAACTCCCCGGAGAAGTAGAGCTCCGCCGCCAATTCCTGGTCGTTGAGCTTGTGGAAGGCCGCGCCCTCGGCGCCCGCGGTGTCCACGAGGCGCCGCAGGAACCGCGCGGCGACGCCGGCCCGGCCCATCCACGCGCCGGAGTTCAGGTACCGGTACGGCGTCGG